AAAAAAAAAAAACTTTTGGAACAGAATAAATTTTATGTTTCCAAAGAAGAGCTAATCTAATCCTTCCTATCTAATATGGGTTCAACATCCTAAAATGAAAGTAAGCGAACATTTAGTGATTATGAAATTCTTACCTGGAACCCACTTAATTTCCATTTCCATATCATTTTCTTTGCCTTTTTCTTTTTCTTGTATAACTTGCAAGAGTTGCCTATACTTAGCAATTTGTTCTTCATCATCCTTTTGACTCTTCTTTGTTTTCCCATCTTCCACATTGACTTCATCATCACCTAACAAAAAAATCAATCTCTTTAAACATACAGAAGTAATTTACTTCTAACTCTAAATCTCAAAGTAACTCCAACACACTTTTCAGAAAATGTTGTCAGACATACTTCAACAAAATATAAAAATCAGACTTCAACATCTTATTAAATTAATTAAAGTTCTTGTTTATAATAAAAATAAGCGGCACTATAAGTTTGCACAATCATATTTTTCTTGAGAATCTGTGTTTGTTAAAATTCATATTCCAAAATAATCTTGTAGCGATGCAACATTCTCAGACTTCTTTCCCTATTAGCTAGAAAACAGAGTTACCATTTTCTCTCTCTTTCTGTCCTTCATCATCTAGTAGAGTGGTTTTAAAATGTTATAGCTAATGTGGCTGGGTTGCATTTCATACATACTGATGAGACAAAGGAAATTACTTGTAATCCAGATGAAGAATAATGAGCCTTGTCCATCTGATGGTGAGCAAGCATAAGCATACTTACTCTAAGAATTTCCTCAATACATTGAGAAAAAAACTGAATTAAAAATTAATTCAGGTAAGTTGTATGGAAAAAATATTCACATTTTCACCTCCTAATTTTATAAAAATACTTAGAATACAAAAGAACAGTATAAAATTCATAGGCAACAAACACCAAAGAAAACTAATATGTGAAAAGTTTGTTTGCTTTATATTTCCACTATAATTCTCCAAGTCAAAACCATAAATTAAGAGCCGGGGCTTAATGCAAAACATACAGACTTATTAAACTGACTAAATTCCCCACTAAAGGAAAATTTAGAAGCATCATAATGAAGACCCTCTCTTCTATGAGTTATGGGTAAACTGGTCACTAAAAATATCTTACATTAAACACTGAAACATCAATGTTAAGAGATTGTCTTTACATCTTAAGAAAGGTGATATGGAAAAAAAAACTGGTTAAATAAATGTTTTTATGGTTTCTTTCTCTAAATGAATAAAAAATAGTCTAGGACATTCTTTCCATCCTATCACACTTTTACATTTTCACTCAAACAGCTGAAATTCATTTTTTTCCTGTTTGTGCTTTGTGCCACAATAATAATGTTGGATGGAATTCTGTCGTGTATCCCGTAATTCAATGGATAAAACATCAGGAACACATTAACAAAATGGCAATGTAGTTCTTTCTATTAAAAGCTTACTTCTGAAAACATAATTAGAAGCAAGCTCCTTCCAGGTTGAAACTTTAGTGGTAAGTCTCTGATGGCCTACTTTAAATTGATTTTTTCCAGTACTAAAATTTTACTTTCTGAAGCTCTAAAATGTGGCATAACTCATGTAGGTCTGCTTTTTTCCAATTCAAGGACAAAACTTTGTGAAAACTTTAATGCTATATAAGAAGTAGAAAATAACTGTAAATGTAAGAAGCCCTGCTATGATTTCTTATAACTACCAGGAACATCTTAATAACAAGGCATTTAAATATTCTAATATATCTAACAGAAGCACTAACTTAAAAATCAAAATAAGTTTATAATCAGTTAAAATGCCAAATAAAAATGGGTATTTTTAAAAACTTAATATATTTCAAACAAAAATCATTAAGGTCTCAGAAAAAAAATATTATAAGGTAGTCCACTAAGCACTTTCTATACATTATCATCTCAATGATTCCAGCCATGAATTAGATATTATTATGATTCTCATTTCACAGATATATAAAGGCATGGGACTAAGCTCATGCACCTTATTATGTAATTTCATTAAGTAAGGATTTTAAAACCAGGAAAACAAGAGCTTTACAAGAATATACTGACAGATTAAAGTTTATTTTTTTTGTGAAGAATCTGTATTCGATGTTCACATGTATATGTATTTTTTATAGAGCTGATAAGAAAAACTATGCAGAATTTTCACAGTAAGTAATAAATGACCATCTAGGAATATAAATAAAATTAGATAAATTAGTGTATATATTGGTGTATATAAGGGCTGTTTAAAAAATGACTCAGCAGTTCTGGGCACACCAGAAATACCATGGTCACTCGAATATTTGGAATGCCAAAAGAGTTAGAAAGCAACAGCTACTGGAGACTTAAAAAATGTATTTAACCACTACTGCAAATCATCCGCTTTTTTGAAGACTATTAAATACCAAAAAAATTATGCAGTTTTATTAATATGAGATGTCTGAAGAATCACACACTAAAATAAGATTTTATATTCCATATGTTGAACACAGTTCAAGAGTAGTATTTTATGACAAACTTGGAACAACGAAGCAGTTTCTTCAGTAGTGTAAAAAAAAATGGTGATATAATTTAAGAAAGTTAGTTTAATAGTACTATGATAAAACAGCATTTCAGGACTTATCATTTCAACATTCAGGTCATAAAAAATGATACACACAAAAGGAAAACCAAAAGGACAACTATGAAAAATGTTAAGCTACAAATAAAAGAGTATTCATTCCTTTTAAAAACTTGTATTTATGTTAAACATTTATGGTTGTTTATTTGCTGTCATTAGTTAAGACAAAAGAGGATAGCTAGAGATGGTCTTAACTAAAAACTATAAAATTAGAATTAAGCAATGAAATAGAATCGGATCCAGTATAAAGTAGTGGGGTTTTAAGCTCTATTTTAAATAAATGTTAAGCAAACGGCATATAGAATTTTAAAAATACACCACTAATCAATCATCAAAAAATATTTCAAATGAAGATACAGATTATCTTAGGATTTTTTCCACCAATGACAAATAGGTACTTTAGATCTACCCTTTTCACTGACATCAAATTGTATGAGACTTTTAAAAAACACCTTAAAAAGTCGATAAAAGTAAAGAAAACTCCAATGAGCTAACAAATTAGTGAGTTATCAAGTCAAAATCAAGAAGGCAGCAGCACCAGAGAGACGATTCCAGTGTTCAAGACTGTCTTACATGGAACACATTTACTGACTAAGAAGAAATAGCTATGAAACTGAACGAACAGTCCTGGCAGTTTGGCGGAACAAAGGCCAAAGTTAAAGAAGCAGAGATGTAGGGGTTTCAACTACTACCCATTAAATTAAGCACAGTGCCAGAGATATTCTCAAGTGTGGTCAGAAATACACCAGTCCTCACCCAAACTTGCACACCCACAAAGTTCAGGTAACTTCAAGCTTTAAAACTTTCAGTTATAGGGCCCTCCCTGGTGGCTCAGCGGGTTAAAGCACAGCACTAAGAGGCTTAAGCCACTTCCGCATGAGCTCCGATTCCTCCCTGCCCCGAGGAGATCCACATGGCCTGGCAGACCTCTCCTGACCCGCCCGCTGCTTCCCCCAGCAGTGTACTTCATTGATCTCGCCTGTTCTGCTCCCCGCTCTGTCTCTGGTGAATCCTCTCACCCTCCGCATCTCTAGCCTGTACCAGAGTTCTGTATGAATAAATAAATAAATCTTTAAAAACAAAAAACTTTCAGTTATAGATTACCAGAATAACCTGAGTAAACGAAGCCTCTCTGGTGAGATAATCTCATCTCAAGTATCAAATCAGTATATAAATTTAACCAAGTACATAAGTAAATAGAAGAGAAATATCTTGTAAATAGAAAGTCAAAAAGATTTGAAAAACTGAAATTATTATTGACTACTCACAGAAATAAAAGTGCTGAAAACATGTGCAATGGATATAAAACTAAATAATATTGCTGAATTGAAAAACAGCCACACTGGAATTTTAGAGTGAAAATACAACCACCAAAATTAATTCTATGGATATGTCTGTCAACAGATTCCACATCATGAGCTTTCTAGTCAACAAGAAAAATGTAGGAAATATTCAATCAATCCAAGAGAGTTTCAAGTTAAAAAAAAAGGGGGGGGGAGGGGGAGGGAAGGGAAGTAATAAAGCATTTTACTAGTTTGTTAAAAGACTGCATAACTAAATGAATTAAGACAAGTCGAAAAGCCAGCCTTTAATTCAGGTTTTTAAAGAAAATGCTTAAAGATATTCTGGTTAAGAAGATACTTTAAAATAAAAATTTTGAATTACTATCTATAGGTGTATATAATACTATACATGAGTATCCTTTATGTAACAGTTTTAGAATTCATTTGATGCTACCTCTCAAGCTACTATCAAAGACATATTTCTGTTAACAGTTCTAGCTTAGTCATCTAAATGCTTACAGATGTAAAACATTAAAAGATTAGCAAGTACTTTGTAGTTCTAGCTCTTCTTCATCTTCACTAGAGGAAGCTAAGTAGGCTTGAAAATCCATATCCAAAAGCTCTTCCTTTTTAAATTTCCTGTTGAGTGTTGTAATTCGTTCATGATCAGTTTCATCCCAAGTGATCTCCACCTTTTACCAATGAATTAAAAAAAAAAAACAAATTTGTTAAAGTATACTTATCATTAACTTGGAAGTCGAACAGAGATCTAAAAAAACAAAGATAAGCTGAGACAAATATATTATATACTTAATAAGAAGCATTCTATATGTGGAAAAAGAACCTCTTCAATTAAACTACCTTCCTCCTAACTCTGCTAATATGCAAGGAACTTCATTTTTGGGAGTAAAAATTCATCAGTGTGTGAATGAGCAAACAAAAGAAAATGCACCACTAAAAAGGTTATTATGAAACAGAAAATATGTTTTTCATGGAGTTCTAGGTGTTACAAGAAATCAACAAATTATGTGAAATCTCGTAACAAAACTTTTAAAACAACCTCAATGGGGTCTATTTACCCACCCAAAAGATTAAGACACACTAATGAGAAAGGCTTATATTGGTTGGAAATACTATAGACAACTGTAATCATTCATCTATAACATGACTGAGCTGGTGAATGGCACCTGTACTTTAAGCAGTCCCATTCGCTGGTAGCGTGCTATTGCAGGTTTTAGCTTAACATCTTTATTTTTCTCAGGCTAATCTCCCCAGATCAAAACATTATAATAGGCAACAATGAAACAGATAGATGATACAGCCAAACCCTAGGAAATCTAGACTGCTTGGCTGGGCAGGCTTACTCTGGATATCTGTAGTTTTGAAAATGACATGACCCTATGTTTTATATGGCTGATATTTTTAGGATCACTTACCTTATAATGGGGGGACTTCTACTATAATCAGTAACTAATCTAGGCTAAATAATGCCCACCATAGCACACTGGGGAAAGACACAGTACCTCCCTCTCTGCTACTAGGCCATCCTTAGAAGAGCACAATTCTTTGGCACAGGAAAGGCAGTGGAAAGCTTGTACAGCTGTCACAGGATCCAGGTGTGGCTAGACTTATGGGGTATGGGGTAACAAACTAATTCAATAGAAATCTTTCGCCTGCTGGTTACCATGAATTAATGTAACTAGTAATACTGAATGAATTATTCTACTTCAAGTAGTTTTAGAATTTTGGATCTAAATTTTAGCCCAAAATTAGTTTAGAATTTTGGATCTGATTTTGGCTGCAGAAAAAGTAATTTTATTTTTATATTTTCTGATTTGTTTTAAATGAGATTTGAGGATCTGTTAGCTAAGTGACCCCTACTCTCTAAGACATTAATAACCAAATTAAAGAACCTAACTATATAAGAGTATATGGGAAACATAGAAGTGAAAACAGAAACAATTGCAGGTAACTGACTAGGGTTTAAAGGCATAACAACAGATACAGTAGATAAAAATGCAAATGTATTGCGTCTTATTCCTATTCATACTCATGAAATAAAATTTTGGATACTTTCCATTTCCAGATATGCTATAAGCAAATGTTATACAAAGTCTTATCTTAAATAATAAGAGTCCATCTAGACATTTTTTAAAGTTAAGAAATACCGTTGACGTTCCCATTGCAGCAGATGTGAAATATTTTGGTTTATATGCTGTTAAATCCACTTCTGAGGCTATGTCCTTGGGCTCATCATCAAAAGTAATATCATCTGGTATAAACCTAGGAAACAAAGAAAAAATAATTTATTTAAACATATGTTACAGCAATAAACAACCAGAGTTCAGATTCTCTTTTAATTAGTTATAGTTTATACATACATACCATATAATAGTTTCTACAGAACACACATGTAGATGAGGCAAACAATGTTAGAAATAACCTTGGTACAAAATTTCTGAAATTTAAAGCTATAGCTCTGTAATTCCACTAAATCTGAGTGAACTCTGTATAGACAGAAACCCAGTATTAGGAGTCACTTAATGAGTGAGATTTAAACACACGCAGGTCTCTTATACTTCATTGACTTGCTGTATGTTTTGGAGATTAAATATAAACTAGTGATTAAATATTCTGAAATGAAAGTATCACATATATAAAATGAAAATAAGAAAAAGGTTAGTAGATTCTTAAAGACTAAAAATCTTAATGTTATCTTACATTTTCTCCCACAAAGAGCGATCAAATATAAATGAGTTATTGCAAACTGTTTACAACTCTGAAGCATTAGGAATGGGGAGGATAAAAGTAAAGAGTTAAACAGTCTATGATTATCATATTTAGGTTTAGTAATTTCTGTAGATTGTTTCTATCTGTACAAAAAGCAAATGCCACATGTCCATCAACAAGAATATTTTTGGTTTGGATGAATAAATAAGGTTCAGTAGGTCTATTCTAGTTGCACTTTTGTATGGACTTAGTAGAAAAAAATCCTGAAATCATTATTTTTAAGTTATTAATATGTATACTTTCATATTTGGGGCAGAAGAAAAAAGGTATCCCTAGATAAGTGGATGGCAGAAGAAAACTCAATTTTCTTTTCTGATGTTAAATATAACAAAATAAAACAGAGAACGTAAATTTTTTTCCCCAAGGTCATTTATGTTACTTTCTAGGCACTGCCAGAACTTATACAACTCCACATGGAAATAACCCAAAAGGTAAACAGAAAGAACAAAACAATTCAGGAAAAGAACATGTGATGTGAATTCATGATACTCAGAGTCTGATATTTTTAAAAATAATATAATAGTTTATTTTTACACCATTTTGTGCATTTTCTCATCTCAGCTGTAATCCCCGTGGGCTTCCCATCACCATTAAATCACCCATATGCCATCACCATGGTCCAGTGCATTTCCCTCCCCCCACTGTTTTGATCCCATTCCCCATTCCATCCCCATAAAATGTCTCTGGTATATAGCTGTTCATCATTATTATTTTCAGAATCTGGTATTTTAACAAAAATTGGTAACTACTATTTAAACATTTAAAATGAGCACCTCCTATTGTGGTTTTTGCAGAATAGAAAAGGAATAGCTTATATTAGGAGATAAAGCCTCTAGCAAACCTGGATCTCAAGAAGTGATTTCTATTTTAAATGTCACTGTTCACTGGGTTCAAAAGGAATAGAATAATCATAAAATAGTATAGTACTTCAATTTCCCAAATCTTTAGAACTGCTATTTACAAACATGTTAGGTTTTTAAGCTGCATTAGAGAAGCTTAAACACATGGTTAAAAATTATGCCCAAGTCTGAAGACAACACCAGCAATTCCAATCACCATTGTACAACATTTTGGGCAGTACTGACCTACAGAACTTTCTGTGAAAATGGCAAAGTTCTTTATCTGCTCTTTCCTATTTGTGGCCATTAAGTACTCAAAAGGTGTCTAGCATTACCAAGCAATTTTAAATTCTTTTAAATTTTAAGCAAATTTAAATAGCCAGATGTAACTAATGACAGTCAACACAGATTTAGAGGTTCTAGTTTATAAGAAAATCCCTTTGCTCCCACCTCACCTGGTTCCTAGTTCTTGGAGCGGCAAAGAGACTTAGCTACATTTATAACCTATCTCCTAAAAACATAGCCAACATGTTTGAAAAGACATGAATGTGGAACTGACTCATACATTAATGTTACAGCATTTCTCATTCCAGTTTAAGAACAACATGTCATAGGATAGTTTACCCAAAAGGAAGAAATCATTTAGAATATGAAATAACAGAGACCATCAACAGCTCTAATATTTCATCTCTTATAAACATGTTGTGCTGCACAATTAACTTGGTAAGATAGATAGTGGATTACCTTAGATCTATGAATGAACAACTACTTTCGAATTCCAGGCCATCACAATCCTCATAAATTTTACTGGCTGTATCAGGAGAATCACATTCTACTACTGCATAATAGTACTTCAATCGTTTGAATTGATAATCTCTCAATTTTTCTCTAGAAGTCCTAAAAGGGGAAAAACTCAGTAAGCTTACTAATATAAGGACACAAACACCTATCTCCCTTTCAAAAACAAATTCATTATTTTAAGAAAAATATACACAAGCTGACCTTCATTCTAACCCGTATTTTCTTCATAACTTTAGCTGTATGACCAATAAATACTTAGTTCAATTTATTAATTTAACAAGCAACAGAATTTAGATAGTTTGATTGTAATCTGCTATCTAGAAAAGGAGACTGTTAGAATTACATGTTGTTACCTTTGATTCTAAATTTTAGAATAATTGTAACTGTTTCGCATATAGCCTTTTCCTACCAGGATTGCTAGCATTTTTAATAATACAGCAAATACAGTTAATACAGGAAAGTATTAACTGTAATTACAAAGACTTTTGATGATGTACAATGTTTATTCCACATACATGTGATCAAGTCAAAATGGTCATAAATTTCATTTCACTTAACTACAATCAATGAGGACCTTCATTTACACTCTGTTGCCACCAACCTATTTAACCACTATTTTTATTAAGTGAGCATACAGCTCCACCTTGTGGTTTAAAACTAATTTTTCTACATTACATGATAAAGAATTTAATCATCTTTTATTTTCTATTTAATCTTCAAATAAGTTAAACAATTCAAAGATAAAAACACATGAAAAGTAATAGCTCAGGAAAATGGCAACACTTACAAATTCAGAGCAATGCGGTTGTGAAAACTGGAAATCAGTTTAATTATCAAATGTTTTTTAAAACTACGATAGTTTTTTCATGAATATAGAAATATAAATATGCATACAAAATGGTGGGTCAACCTGACAAGACTTTACTCTGCTTTTCAACCTGTTTTCACCAAGTATATAAACTTTAGCTCTAACCATTAAAATAACTAGAATTTTAAATTAGACATTTATTTTCCGTAGTGACTTATTACCAGTCCTTTTCAGGGGCATCTTCAGGAATACTTAATAACTCTACTGGTCCTTGAATTTGCTCTTCCTTCATCCTCTCCTTTCCAAACTCTGATGGATAAATCTAAACAAACAAAACAGATCAGTTTTAGATAATTTTCCTTTTCTTACACTATCCAAGTCTGAACTAAAGAGTTACAGCTGGACTTGATGAAATGGCACGGATCACTCACTTTCAAACCCACTACAGAAAGTTAAAGCATCCTAAGGAATAACCTTAAAAAATCGCCTTTTGGCTGAAAAATAACAGATAAGGGCTTAGAAAGAAAAAGAGTATATCTTTTATACACTAACTGGGCCAAAATGATTCTGGGATCCAAGAAAAAAATTAAGAAAAGCAAAATAAAATACCAAGCTCAAGAAACTCAATAGAAACATAAATGAAAATGAATGGATTAAATAGCTTATATGAATTACACAAAATGATTAAATATATAAAATATTAATAATGAAGAAAAACGTTGTTATACCTAACTTATCTGTCAGATGTATTCCATATTTACTTTAAAAAAAATTGTTTTTTAACTAGACAATGTTACCATACAGATTATACAGTCTGGATGCAAGAAAAATTTAGCCTCACCAGGATTTGCTATTTTTATATCTTTGTTGCTTTGACAAGCAAGGAATATAACTGTATTGACTTGTATTATTTTGATACAGCTGATTTTAATATACATTTGTTATCAAGCACATGCTTTTTTTGAGTTGACTGATATATGCAGTTTATCAACTAGAAAAAAAGTTTTTATGAGTAGCATATAATAGGTTCTGATATAGAAGTTGTAAATGTATATGTAGTTACATCCGTGGGTTCTTTGATCTCTAAGTTTAGAAATTCCTACTGCCCAATTCTTGAAACATAAAATTTAACAAAAACAAGATTCTATTTTACTCTGCTAATGTGGTTTGCTTTTTAGTATTTTTCTATTAAATTACATCATTTGAAATTTTTATGCTATTATGAGCTGAGAGACCGACATATAAGTTTTCCATACAAAACTTATCTATTTATCTAACTTGTTTTTTGATCTAAATGTTAAACTTTTCTATTTATTTCATTTTTGCCCAAAACTGTTGACTCTCATAACATTATGAAATATTTAGGTATTTTAAGTATAAGGTGAACCTTTTATCCTGATATAATTTCTCAAAAATTTATTACTTGTTCTCATATATTTCTTCTTTTAGATTACCGATATCTTTTTTCTTAATTTTCTTTGAATTCAGAATGACTGAAAATTCGCAAGCATCACACAACTAACATTTTAAAACATTTAGAGAGTGTAATATAGTTGTTTTTCACATTGTGCGAAATACTTAATGTTTCTTTTCATTTAATCTTTGTAATTATCCCAGCAAGCACTACTGTTATAGCTACTTATCAGAAGACACACTCGAACAATTAATTCATAAAATGCTCAATATCACTTAACATTTATTAGAATAAAGATCTGAACACAGATGTGTTATATTGCAAAGTGTGTATTCTGATTCACTATGCTGTCTCTCTAAAAACACGGTGTCCCAATATTTATTTAAGTTTTCCAAGTTTTATGAAGTGTTAGTTTTGTTAATCTAGGTCATGTGTGTTTAAGGTAATTACCATGGATTTTATTTTTCTGCTCCTAGTAAAAACAGAATTTTTTTTTCTTACCTGGTTAATAATGATAATGAGTAAAGTTTCTTTTTTGAATATTTATCTTACACCCTCTTCTTTTATTGATTTTATAACAGCATTCTGGTGATTTGGATTTTTTTAAGAATACACAATCACGCCCTTCCTGGTGGCACAGCGGGTTAAAGCACAGTACTAAGAATAAGCTACTTCAGCATGAGTTCCATCCCTGCCCCAGAGGTGATCCACCTGGCACAGCAGACCTCTCCTGACCTGCCCGCTGCTCCCCTCAGCAGTGTACTTCATCGATCTGCCTGTTCTGCTCCCCACCCTGTCTCTGGTGAATCCTCCCACTGCCCCTGCACCTCTAGCCTGTACCCAGTTCTGTAAGCATAAATAAAAATAAATCTTAAAAAAAAATACACAATCATATAAGCCATGAATAATAAATTTACCTCTTTCTTCTTAACTTTCACGTTACAACAGCCTCATGTCTAACTGTATTAGAAAATGTCCAGATTTTTTCCCTTAAAAGCAAAATTATGACTTAAAAATGAGAATTAACTTAAAACACTTATTTACTCAAAATGAAATCAATTCTCACCTTTACAGAAAATACAACACCTCCTTTAGGTTTAAATGAATTGAACAGGGCCAACAAATCTTTTGCCTTTAATCTATCCCAGTCCATGTTACAAACTGCTAATCGTCGTGTAATCTAAGAAACAAGAAAAAGTAATTGCAATATTAATATATTGCAAAATATCTCTTCTGATCAGACAGACACCTAATTAATACAAATACAGACCATTTCAAGATGGTTGAATAGAATCATTAAAAATGAATTATTTACCAAAAAGACTTTCCCTACTCAATTTAATGACATCAATACTATCATCCATAAATATGACTTGTACTGTGCTATTCTAATCACATGTATTAAAAAGGTCACCTCATCAGCACGAGGAGCATCCTTATCTAATTCTCTCCAAGCATGTTCAAAACCAGATTCTTGTGGAAGGTAATCATCCATATCTTCTTCATCTTCAGAACTAGTTTCTATATTTCCTTTACCCCTGGCTAGATCAGGACCACTGTCACTTTCTTCTTCATCATTGTCGTCGTCATCATTATCATCATTACCACTACTACTCTCATCTTCATTGTCATCATTTTCATCATCACTGTCGTTGTCATCATCACCAGTTGAATCACTGCCAATGCCTGCTGTTTCATCTTCAGATTCTTCATCACATCCTATTTCACTAGTACTTTCTAAATCTTCCTCCAGATAATCTTTTTCATACAATTTACCACCTTTTGATTTTTCATTACTATCACTTGCCAGTTTGGGTGGAACTACTGCAAAAAGATAAAAGGAGAAAGAAATTCAGAAAATGTAAGCAAGATATTAATTAAAGTTGTTATTTTGACCTAAAATCTGGTAAAATAATTTCTATAAAATAGAAAAAGGAAAATATAAATTCAGCAAAATTCATACCCAATGCATATTATACAATGGAAATCTCCATAAATACTCAGATCATGAGAGTAGGTTCATACATTCATGTAGCACCAACTATATACTAGGTGTTCAATATATAATCATTAGCAAAAGAGAAGCAATCAATGTTCTGAATGAATTTCCAGTTGAGTGAAGAGGATAAACACATAGATGTCAACCAAATCAACCCACATTAAAAAATGAAATTACTACTAGAATAAAAGCCAAAGGAATGGTATATGCTATCACATAACTGAGATCTCCATGAATGACAAACAATTTGTTACTTGACAGGTAAAGAAGAGTTATAAAAGTTAGACTACTAGATGAAGGTAATGTTCCAGACAACAAAAATAGTATAAGTAAAGATCCACTAAAGGAAAAATCAGCAGGTATGACTGAATTGCAGACAGCAATGCGTCAAGTAAAAAATTAAACTGAAGATTTATGCAGGAACTACACTATGCAAAAATCATATACAAGAATTGGATTTTTCATAAAGTAGTAAAAAGTCACCATTACTTTTATCGGAGGGTCACAATCACAACTGCATATTGAAGAGGTTACTTTGACTACACTATAAAAAATGACTAAAGGGGTCAAGAGTGAATATGAATACATGTAAGGCTAGTACTTTATTACAGACAAGAAATGAAGGTAACACAAAGTTGGTGGCTATAGAGAAGTAAATGGAGTTACTTCTGACTTTCAGAATCAGTTAGAAGGTAAAAACCAGTAGTAATCAGATCTATAGATTAGCTTAGTTTCTTGGCCTTTGGGCTAGATAACATTAAGTAAAGATAAACTAGCAGCACTGGAAGAAAACCAGTTTCTCTGGTGGAAGCAGATCATGAGTCCAGTTTTTGATATGCTGAATATGTAGTGCATGAGTCATTTAAGAGGCTATAGTAATTATCAAAAATTTGTTTATCACCAATCTCTTTCATTATATTACAATTTTTAATAAAAATATTAGTTTTGGGGCCCTCCCTGGTGGCACAATGGGTTAGGATGCAGCACTGCAAGCTGGCTGTAGCCATTTCAGTGAGAATTCGATTCCCGGTCCCAGAGGTGACCCACATGGTGTGGCAGACCTCTCCTGTCTCACCCTCTGCTCCCCTCAGCAATGTACTTCGTCGATCTGCCCATTCTGTTCCCCACTCTGTCTCTGGTGAATCCTCTCACTGCCCCTGTACCTCTGACCTGCACCTCAGTTCTGTATGCATAAAAAAATAAATCTTAAAAAAAAAAATTAGTTTTGTTCTAAATAAAATCCTTGAAACACAGAAATTATGGTTACATTTGCCCCCTAAAATGTTGAAATAATTACATAACTGCTAATATAAAAATACTTGAATATCATCTCACATATAATGTCTTCTCACATATGACACTGATAAACATATCACACATGAATTATATAATAAAATGACAATGGAAAATTTAGAGAGATCTTGTATTGTAGTGTTTCTTTGAATAGCAAACATTCAAAGCAATTATTCTTCCACTAAATCTTTTTTCTAAGCCTGACATGTACAAACTCTTTATGCTAAAAAATGTGAGATTACCTCTATTCCTAGAAGGTACTCCTCTAGCATAGATCATAAAATTACTACATACCCAGGCACTTTTTAAAAATTGCTTTAGCATTTCCTCCCTAACTACAAAAGTTTTAGATACTCAATGCAAAAAGTTTAAACAATATAATTTAGTGAAGATGACTAGTAATTTTTCATTCAGAAATAATTAAATGGTTATTTGATCCATTAGCACCCTAAATTTGTTTTTCATGATATATTCACTAATTTCTTTAAAGTAGTTGGTCATGCCATTTATACTATCTTTAACCTATTTTTAAAACTTCATGTATCACATATTTACATACCTTTTAACTTAGTCCAACTTTAAATGACTTGTGACCATTTTTTAAATTTAGAAACAATGCTACAATGCATATTTTTTGCGCACATCATATTACTTTTCTTTGCTAATTATTATGTTTATTGAGGTACCTTTGGTTTGTAAAGCTGAATGTTTTAGGGGCACAGTTTACATATCTACATTTATTTCCTTAATGTAAGTTCTTAAAAATTCAAGTGCTAGGAATTAACATTTTAAATAACAAATACTGAACTGAAACTTCTCTCATCATCTTTACCTTACAGGATTTAAAAAGCCCATTACATATTATAGTTACTAGAATGATAATTGATGAGTAAATAATGAACAAAAGATGGTTATATCTGCAGTCAATTAGTCCCCACTGACAAATATCTTCTGTATTTGAAATTAATGTAAAGCAACCTTGTGTAAAAAGATTCAAAAACTTGAATAGCAGGTTCATCTCTATGTATCGTTAGGTAAGTCACTTTATCCTTATTTCCTGATTAATAAAGCCTCATTTCTTGAGGTTACTTTCCAAAATGAAAAAAAGGTATGTAAGAAGATTCTGTAAAATCAACAGAATTACTACATGGATGCCAGAGTTCTAAATCTAGTAATGTTTAAAGGACTCAAGACTTGCAAAATTAGCATCAAACCAGTCTTGCTATTGTTTCCATTCTCATTTTGTTCTCCAGTTGCAGAAACCAGATTCCTTACCCTTCTCTCTATAACTCAGTTTCCTTCCTGGTTCCACTAAAATGGAATGGGGTGTTACTTTAGACCAATGCTGCTGCACAGAGTTTAGCAAGCTGCTATTTGCAGAAGGGGATCTGCAAAGGAACAGGAAAGCCAAATTCCACTTAATCAAACTATGCATCTTTAGGAAGGCCATGACTGCTCCGAGGAAAAGAAATTGTCACACTGTCCTTCAGTACACTGTAAGTTCTGTGTGTTCCAGAAGACATACCTTTTTCTAATTTGCACAGGTATTAGATAAGCTAATAGTATGCCTAAGATGGAGAACCATGTCTTGTTCTGGCTTTATCTGTCATGTACCAGCTAAAAGTAGATGAATGAGTACCCATCTCTGTTTACTTTTCTTAGATAGCACTTATGGGATGAGAAGATACAGCACTTTCTCTGGATACAGAATACATTTCTTATTAGTAACTATTACAATTCAAAATTACTGTGTAGCTTCAAGACAAGTTTTTAATTGTCTCTCTTCCAGCCATTACAGCACCAACTCAAAAACTAGCTAACAATTATATGGTATTTTTCCCCCTTAACTTTATACTCTAAATAAACCTTGGAATAGCCCCTCTTATACTGTGAATATTCTTATGACAAAGGTTAATTTTTAACAATATGAATATAAAAGTAACGTAATACAAAAGAATTCTAAAATTAGGATTCACCTCAACCAACCTGATTGCATTTTTCCTCTTGTCTCAGAATACTGTGCCTTGGGAAATTCCACAATTTCAGAGGTGCCCAAGTCTGTTTTCAGTTTCCCTTTGGGACTTAAGTCAGTGCTATGTTGAACAATGTTTTTTTTCCATTTTGCCTTTTGTTTACATTCTTCGCTATTTTTGTTGGGACTTATTTTGGAATCTATCTTCTTAGTTTTATATACAGTCTTCATTTCCTGAATTCTGTCAGAGTTACCTAAATCATCTTTTATTCTAGAGTCCTTTTGACTAACTTTCTTAATTTCTTTCTTCTTCTCCACAACTAGATTTTTGGATTCCATTTTACTTTTAGTCTGGGATTTTTTCTTCTTCACTTCCTTTTGGCTTAATGCTTTGTTATCTTCATCAGACAGATCTGAATCAGAATCTGAAAGGTCATAATAACGTTTCAAGTCTTCTGTAGTGCTGTGGTTGATTGGGCGTCCTCTTTTATCCACTGCATAATTCAACTTGAACTTTTTATCATGAAACATTGCTCGAAATCTCTTGTCAATTTTAATTTTTCGATCTTTCTCTGGCATTTCCCAAAATCTTGGGTCTTTTGCAACCCGTCGAAATCTCTGGTCATTCATTATTTCTTGTTGGGATGCCATTTTTAAGTGACTGTCAGGAAAAATTCTTGAAGAAACCAAATACTAAAAAATAAAACAAATGTCAGAATAATGTAAGATTAATAAAACAGTTAAATAAGGTGAAAGAAAAGATAATTCCAATAGACTTTAAATATAAAATGAAGATAACGATTTTATTTTCATTTCCAAACTTATTCTAAGTCTCTTTCACACACACACACATTTTTCTAATGGAAAAATAAATTAAAGGCATGACAAGGTAGAACTCTAGGACTTTATGGTGGAGAGACATGCTTACCAGGCACTTAGAATTTCTATATGCACACTGTCGCAAGTTAAAAGTTAATGTACTTAAGATTCCCAAGCCTCCATTGGTCTCATTTGTTTCTTCACATTCTAGTACCATTTTCTGTTCATTTTTACTATATGCTACTTCTAATGGCCTTTAGTTCTACAAAGCCAGTCTCTTAACAGAACAAAATCAATTCAGGTTTAGCTCAGAGTTCCCTCCTTAAATCCAACCACCCTACAGGACTAGGTATTTTCACTCTTAATTAAGTCAATAATTACTTCTTTCTATAACTTATTTATGAATAACTAAGACCGAAAACAGCTGTAGCAGGGTATGGTATTGTTCCTTTCATAGTCACTAGTGGCTAGAATCTCTAGATTTGGTTTTTGCAATATGCCAAAGTCATATTACTGAGCACAAAAAAAAAAAAAAAAAAAAAGACCGGAGGGTAGTAGTCTTTGTTTCAAATCTTGACTATAAAGCTGGATTTTCCCCCCTGAAATTTGAGAACCTGGTACAGATCAAGGAAAATTCAAAATGTCGATGATGGACTTATACTAAAGCATTTAGTCTTTCGAATATCCTAACAAGATTGGTACCATCTGATCCAACTTTCAGAGGCCATACATAAAAATATTTAGAACGAAAGCAGTCGCTAAACATAGACATTCGGAGAAGCCAGGGCAACCTGACCTTATTTCTGACACCCACCCACCCCTTCTCACCCTCTTAAGACTGGGAACACCGCGGTGGCCCCGGATCCAGGGTTTTCTTCTCCCACTCCCAGAGAGGGTTGAAGTTCCCAACTGCACAAGACGAATAAGGAAATCTTTAGAGTGAGGCTGGAAAGTAAGAAGAGAAGCACCTTCACGAAATCGAAAGGTCCCTACCAGAGGTTCGGCTCCACTACATCTTTCCCTCTGCAGCCAAAGAGTACTCACCACTTCCAGACACTCACCTAGTCTCACATGGGACCTACACCCACAGTCCTCCGCGTGACATTCCGCCGCAACGGTACGCGAAGAGGGCCAAATTCCCTCCTCTTTCCTTCCGCGAAGATTTCCGGCAGCGCCGAAACCGTGCAGACGCATGCGCACGATAGCTCGCAGGCGAGCGACGTATTTGTCCGTCATGCTGCGACTGAAGCTGCTGTGGGTCCCGCGGTGTCTACCTAGGACTGCTGGGGTCCCCGGGAAGACCCTTTGCCTCCGGAAGTTCGCTTCCAGCGTTTCTGCCCCGGGCAATGCCTCGACCAGAGCGCTAAATATCTTTGACCGGAATTTGAAGAGGAAACAGAAGAACTGGGCGGCCCGGCAACCCGAGACGATGAAGTTTGACTATCTGAAAGAGGAGGTGAGTCAGCTGGGCAGCTGAGGGAAGGCATTACCTATCTAGGATTTGGGTCTGGTAGCTCCCGGCCAATTCTGGACCGGCCCCGTCAAGCGGTGTGACCTTGAGTAGCCACTCTGCTTCTCCCGGCCATTACTGACCTCGGAAGGGCTGGATCCGGGTTGTAAGGTGCTTTTTACTCGTTCATTCATCATTCATTCTCTCAGTAGCTGTTTCTTGGATTAAAGGTGTAACCAAGGCAAAAGCAAGATCTCTGCCCCCTGGGGATGTCATTCTTAGGGGTAGGGAGAGGAGGAGGAGGAGGAGGGGAGAGGAAACGGTAATTGCTCTAAAAACGTAATGCGAGGTAAATAAAGTGGGTTGCAGTTATGAGGGACGGTCACACGAGCCGAAAACGGGAGAAATTAAGCAGATTGAGTCGGGGGATAGTGTTATAGGCAAAGGGACTGAGAGTTTTTGCAGAGTTCTTGATGCCTTAAGAACCTTGTAGAAGCCTCTAATGAATAGGGAGAGGGAGAGGTCCGGGAGCGCCTAGATTATCAGGGCCTTAAGGAGTACACTTTGATTTTCTTCTGTAGCTGAACTTTCCTTTCAATATGGTATTCTCTTGGCCACATGTGACCACGGAGCACTTGGACTATAGCTATTCCAGCTGAAATGTGCTGTAAGTGTAAATTACACTGGGTTTCCAATAAATAAATAAATAAATAAATAAACACATGCCTTTTGCAGCAACATGGATGGAGCTGGAAAGATCATGCTTAATGAAATAAGCCAGAAAGAAAAGGAAAAATACCGGATAGTTTCATTCATAGCAGGAGTATAACGGACCAGGCGAGAAAATAATAGTAATAATGAACAGCTGTAGACCAGAGACATTTTATGGAGGTGGACTGGCGAATGGGATCAAAAACAGTATGGGGAGGGAAATACACTGGACTGTGGAGATGGCACATGGTTGATTTGGTAATGGGAAGCCCATGGGGTTTACAACTGAGATTGAAAAATGCACAAAATGATGTAAAAATAAACATTTTTTTTTTAAGATTTATTTATTTGTGCATACGGAACTGGGGTACAGGCCAGAGGCTCAGGGGTGGGGAGAGGATTCACCAGAGACAGAGTGGGGAGCAGAACAGGCAGAAAGACGAAATAACACTGTTGAGGGGAGCAGGCGGCCGGTCAGGAGAGGTCTGCCATGCCATGTGGTCACCTCTGGGGCAGGTGGTGATCAAACTCATGCTGAAGTGGCTTTAGCTTCCCAGTGCTGCCCTTTAACCCACTGCGCCACCAGGGAGGAGCAAACATTATTTTTTAAAAAATACACTGGGTTTCTTTATTTTATTTATTGATTTTTACGTCATTCTTCATTTTGTGCGTTTTACATCTCGGTTGTAATCTCCGTGGACTTCCCACCACCAATTCACCCATGTGCCATCACCATAGTCCCGTGTGCTCTTCCCACCCCAGTTTTGATCCTGTTCCCCTCTCCACCCCGTAGAATGCCTCTGGTTTGTAGTTGTTATTTGTTTTTTTAAAAGATTTGTTTATTTATGTATACAGAACCCGGATACAGGCAGGAGATGCAGGGGCGGTGAGAGGATTCACCAGAGACAGAGTGAGGAGCAGAACAGGCAGATCTACAAAGTACACTGCTGAGGGGAGCAGTGGGAAGGTCAGGAGAGGTCTGCAGCTCCATGTGGGTCACCTCTGGGGCTGGGGGGAATCGAACTCATGCTGAAGTGGCTTTAGCTTCTTAGCGCTGTGATTTAACCGCCTGGGTCACCGGGGGGCCGACTTTTGCTTTTTTTTAAATGGCTGCTTGAAAATTTAAAGTTACACATTTGGCTCATGTTTTAATAATTGGCACTACGGTAGAGAAATGGATGCAAAACTGTTGGATGATTTTTAAGCAAGTGTGATATAATTTGGTTTATGTTTATGAAATATTAATTAAGATAAATGGAGATCACTTATTCCTGCTTGTGTGAAAGACTTTTTTTGCCTAAGTAAACAAGTGATCTAGGGGTTTTCCTCTGAACTTGGAGCAGTACTGTCCTCCCTAAGTACATGTAGCAAAATTCAAGTCAAGTATAATGAGCTCTTTTAAATAGTTGCAACACATTAGTGAGCTCCTGAGCTGCTATTCTCACTTGTGTATATTCTTGAGGGCATGTACTTAGATATGTGCTTTCCTAGTCACAGGAAAAGTGCGGGGATTACAACTTGACTGAGGCCTTGCTAGTTTTCAGGACCTTCATAAATTAGATAATGTCTGTGACTACCTTTTGTAATAAACATAATCATACTAGAAATGATGTACAAAGTGAACTTATCTGGGAAAACACTCCTGCTATTTTCACTCATACCCCCCAAAGATTCTAAATTTTCAACTTCTAGAATAAACTCTGGAATGTTTATGAGAAAATGAATAGAATGTGGGGAGTATTAGACTCCCACATCTATATTCTTGCCAGGTGAAGCTAGTACAGCAAAGGATACACCTACCTTAGGACCTGTTTTAGATTGGGGTGGCATTGAGGAGAGTAGGGTGGGAAGCATAGTTTCTTTAGATTTGTCTGACTTTTTCTGATTTATCAATGCTGTTCTGACAGTTGTTTGTTAGTAGTCATGAAATAATAGAATTTTAATTAAGTGATCAGTCACATACTGATCTATATACTTCAGTTAAGTACTTTTTCACTTTCACATATTTCAGGCAATTATCTTTGGACAATCATGTGCCTGTTTTGCTGCTGTTGTATTTTATCCATGCAAAATTATGACACAATGGATCGAAAGAGTTAAACTAAAAAATGTTTAGGCATGGTTTCCTTAAATTGTCTTCTGAAGCAATTTGCCTAAGTTTGTTTCCTGGGTTCCTATTCAGAATTTGAAGTTGTGGAAAATTTGAAAAAGGGATAAAGGGGAGTATTTATCAAAAAGTTAAAAGATAAATGTCTACAGATTGTTGAGTACTGGGTACTGAGTGTACTTTCTTGGTCAGACTTACTCATCTTGTGAACATTTTTGCCTTTTGTTATACTTAAGGTTGGAAGTCGGATTGCAGATCGTATATATGACATAGCCAGGTAAGTAATGATTGTCATAATTAGATATAATCAACACTTGACTAGAGATTTGAGACTAAATCCTGAAAGCTTGATGTATGGCAGGATCTAGAGGAATTTATTGCCAGGATAAGTGATTTAATCCCTCTCTAAGTCTCTCAGACAGAGAGAGCAAGTGCTTTCTTCCTCCCTTCCCCTTCCTCCTCCCCTTCCTCCTCTCCTTCCCCTCTATTCCCCTCCCCTTCCCTTCCCTTCTTACCCTCCTTCCTTCCTTCCCTTTAAACCTGGTAAGGGCTTAGTATCAATTAGCTCTTTAATTGGTATTTTTATTTTTAGTTTGACGTATTCATAATTCATGGTTTTTCACATCATTTTAACTCATCTGCTACCTTAACAAATTAGAGAAATAGAAACAATTATTAATTTTCTGATAGAAATATTGAATATTTTCATATTTAATTTGGATGTGTTATTAAATTAAAAACACCTGTTAAGTCTTCAAACCCACAACATAGAGCAATTTATAGAAAACCCATTGATTTTCTGATCCTATGAATGGCTAGGTCAAGCAAAACTCCTCTCTCTGGTTTGTTCTTTGAGTGATTCAACTTGTAAGGTGAGGCAGAAAAGGTAGATGATAAACTTTGAAAGTTGTGTTCACAAAAATTGTTTTCACTTATGAAAAGTTATTTCTTAAAAAATATTTTATGTACTGTTATATTTCAGACAAATCATAATTTTTCTGTTTATTTCTTAGAGATTTTCCCTTTGCTTTGGATGTTGGCTGTGGACGAGGTTACATAGCACAACACTTGAATAAGGTATAGATATTTGATGAAAAAAAAATTGGCTATTTTTTTAATTGAATATATTTGACATATACATTGTATAAATTGAAGTTATATAACATGTTTTTTGGCACATTTATACATATATAGTGACATTTAACACAGTACAGTTATCGTTGTCTAGTTATTATTCATTATACATTAGATCTCTTTGTGTTGTTTACTAGTCATTGCAGGTTTGTACCCTTAAATAACAACAGCCCTAGCCCCTTAGCCCCTGCCCCTGGTAATCACCATTTTATTCTTTAAACCATCATTTACCTCTTTATTTATACACATTTGATTGTTTTTAGATTCTACATATAAATGATAATACATAGTACTTATCTTGCTGGAACAGATTAATTTTAAGGAAAGAATTTCCTTGTCAATCAGTTTGTGTCAGAGGTTTTGCTATCACCATTGTTATTTTGTTAAGTGGTAGGACCAGAATTTGTGCCCCCTCTTCAGTATTTTTTCCTTAAAATGGTTTTTCTTTCCATTGAATCTAGTTCATATAAGCGTTCTAGTGATAGACCCATTTATTTTCTTCCCCAAGGTACCTACATGGCTTACTGAACTCATCAGCTCAATCAGGTCTTCGTTCAAATGACTTCATCAAAGATCTCTTCCTGTCTACTGTAAAAAATATGCCCCATTCTCCTCTGGCTATTTGCTTTGTTTCCATAGTACCTAGTACCTGATGTCTGTTTGATGTTTTGTTTTTAATCACTCCCAGTACCTTATTAAGTGAATATTTAATTAGTTTTAGTATCTATTAGATGAATTTAATTAAATGCAAGGTAACTGACGTTATTACTTTAGTGATTGGAAAAGTTAGAGGATATGGTGGGGTAAAGAGTAATGGTGATATGTTGAGTTTGAGGTATAGTGGAATATATTATTGTTAATGTCTGACAGATATTTGTAAATGTCTAACTGAAATGGAAATATTGAGGGTAAGAGTCATAACTTGAAGTAAGACATGTAAGGTTTAAAATTCAGCTCTTGCCACTTGTTGTCTACGTACTATTGAACCAGTTAGCCAACTTTTTCAGACCTCAGTTTCTGTAAAATGTTATCTGTGAAATCAATTTCCAAAGGTTGGGGAAAGGAATTGAGGCAAGATATGTTTGGTAAATTGGAGCTATAGTTCTTATTTGGAATCCTCTGTTGGAGGTTAAAACTGTAGGAATATTAAGGTTTCTGGGGCAAGAGTATTAAGAAAAAACTTTCACAATTGTTTTTAGGCATGGGAAGTAAGCATCCAATAAAAATGCTGGGAATAATAAGAGAGAAAGTGCCTTTTTAAGCTGTCTTTTAATTGCAAATAGCAGAAACCCACTGAAGCCAATTTAAAATCACATATTTGAGGCGCTCATGTCACTCAATCATCTAAAAGTATAGTGACACCTTACAAGTGATGGGGACTTTGGAGCATCAGAATGAAGGCCCGCCTGGTCATATCATCTCAGGAATTAACATAGATGCTGCATGGTTGCTTTTTTTTCTCCAAGTAGATTGTCCTTGATGTACATCAGTGTATGTGATCCCACTGTGTATACTCTACATCCAGTTTTGTGCTGAATTCTGGCTTATCTCTTCTTAACTGATTCAGCAACATCATGTTAGTAACATGAAATCTGTCATTGTGGAAATAGATAAATTATGGGAATCGGCAGATACTGCAACTCAGGACACATTTTTTTCTTGAAAGCTATAGTTAAACATTTACCAGCATACCAGTTGTCCTTATACCATCAGCAATGGCCACGTAAACAGTAGGGTTGTATAGTAGGGGAACCATTCAAAGTTGCAGACAGGGAAGTTTCTTTGAATGAAAAGAATTTGGCAGAAGAAGGAATTAAAAATAGACAGTGCTGAGGCCCTCCCTGGTGGCGCAGCAGGTTAAAGCACTGCACTAAGAAGCTTAGGCCACTTCCGCATGAGTTCGATTCCCACATGCCCGGGAGGAGATCCACATGGTGCGGCAGACCTCTCCTGACCCGCCCCTCAGCATTGTACTTCGTCTGTCTGCCTGTTCTGCTCCCCACTCTGTCTCTGGTGAATCCTCTCACCTTCTACATCTCTGGCTGTACCCCAGTTCTGTATGAATAAATAAATCTTTAAAAAAAATAGTGCTGGAAAAGTTTCTAACAAATTATCATAGTACTCTGCACAGAGGTTAAGTGAAATCATACTGATTATGAATAGAATTGTAGTTGGTAACTAAACCAGTTAGAGTCTCTTTATTAATTGTTTAAATAGAACAGTGAAAGTGGAAATTGATTATAAAATATTGAGGAGAAAGATGTTTGTTAGAATAGTCATGGATTATAAACACAGAAACTAGAAGGTGGGAGAGTTACAAGATTTGTCGATTGAGAGGCTTATTATGCCTGTTGTGAAGTGAGGGAAATATACACTGAGGACAGAAATTGGTAGGGATGATCATGGAGTGAACAGGATTCTGAAGAGAAGAGAACATAGCATAAGGTGCTAGTTTGGGGGGAAAATATCGTGGTACCCTTTACCTTTGGAAGAAAGAGAGGATAAGCAAAAGAGAAGGAAATGAAATCACCAAGGTTCTCCTAGTTTCTGTGTTTGTTAAATCTTTCTATACTCTGTAAGATCTTCTCATAAATAGCTAAAAAGGCAGAAAGAAATTGCCATATATTTTGTGGCACATGAGTGGGAACGTTTCAGTAATCATACCATGGAAAAGTTAACACTTAATCCTTAACTCCATGGAATAAATTCGTAGATAAATTATTCACGCCTGTGTTTTGATTAAATATAGTTAAATACTGGCTTGGGTGCATATGTTTAAATCTGTGCAACAATGTTCATTATTAAAAATATTTGCTATATGAAGTGATCTTTTTGGTTTTATGCAGAAAACTAGCCTTAGAAAGCTGAAAATAGATGTATAATTACCACTTTCTCCTTTAATAATTTCAATAGTTGTTTTGTTTGGTTTTTGTTTTATCTGATCAACTTCATTCCATTATAGGAAACTGTCGGAAAGCTTTTTCAAACAGACATTGCAGAAAATGCTCTGGTATGTAACTTTTTAATACTGTTGGTTTCTGATTTCCTGCTTGGACTTTCTGGTTTTTTTATTTACTTCAGAATGAAAATAGCATTATTTTTCTGAATATAAATATAGTACATATACAGAATTAAACAACACAGGAAGTAAAAAGGAAAAAGGAAAAAATCACATAGACCTGTTTTTCCAAAACATAGTTTCATATAATTGTTCGTGTACCATGTTATTCCATCATTTAAGTCAATAAATGATGTGCCATATATCCACTGTCTCTTGAACTGACTATATAGTATTCCCATATTAATACAGTCATGTACCACACATTGACGTTTAGTCAGTGACTGCAAGATATAACAGTAGTTCCTAGCCTAGGTGCATATTAAACTATATCATCTAGGTTTGTGTAAGTATACTCTGTGACATTTGCACAATGATAAAATTGCCTACCAATGCATTTCTCAGGACACATCCCCATTATTAATTAATACATGCCTGTACTTCATGTTTATTTAGCTAAATCACTATTAAAAGACATTTAGATTTCTAGTTTTTCGATAACCAATAATATGATGAGTGTCCTTACATGGTGTAATTTTGTGGCTTTGCTTTATTTTTCTTTCTGGAAATAATTTAATGATTTATTGATGTTTGCCTTTAAATTTTTGATAAACATCTCCAGACTGCATTTAGAAAGTTTGAAGAAATATATGAAAGTACTTTTTTCTCCTTTGGCTGTATAGGGCCAGAGCATTTTGCTTTTTGTCTTGTCAGTTTTATAGTCAGAAAGTAGAATATTGTTATCTTTATTTGCATTTCTTTGATTATTGACAGCCAAACTGCTGTTAATGTCTTTTGACTATTAGAAATTTTTGAGAATTTTGTAAATATATACTTCATGCTTTCTTTTTTGACCTTGAAATGCTCTTATTCTAGGTGGTAACAGCTTGTTTTTGGTGGGATATATATTTCTTTTAATTTTTATAATAGTTTATTTTTACATCATTTTGTACCTTTTTCCATCTCAGTTGTAATCCCGGTGGACTTCCCACTACCATTTCACCATTGTGCCATCACCATAGTCCCGTGCACTTCCCCCCCCCACATTTTTGATCCCAATTTCACTCTACCCCCGTAAAATATCTGGTACATAGTTGTTCATTGTTTGTTTGTTTTTTCCTTTAAGGGGAAATATTAATCTTTCATTGTATGTGTTCTAAATATTTCTCCAGGATAGTGTTTATGTTATTACTTTTTAGAAATTTTTGATTATCACATATATATCAGTCTTTTTCTTTATAGGTTCTGACATTTGAGTCTTGTTTACTTAAGTATTTTGTCTAAGAATGTAAAAATGCTAGCCCATTTCATGTAATACTTATTCTTATTTTCACTTCAGTTATTCCCTGCAACATTCAGATTTCGGAGTTTTGTTTTAATGGGAGGAAGATGTCCTGTTTATGTTTTCCATCTAACTAGTATTGTTTACATAAAAAAACCACATAAATGTAACATTGACTTAAGTCTTACATGCAATGATTGAAATTGAGGTTTTTATATAAATGTATTTTGAACTTTTTTTTTTTGACTTTAGAAAAATAGCTCAGAAACAGAAATTCCTATTGTCAGTGTTTTAGCTGATGAAGAATTCCTTCCCTTCCAAGAAAATTCATTTGACCTGGTGGTTAGCAGTTTAAGGTTGGTAAACAATTATCCCTTCAAAAACTATAATTTTGCCATAAAGTATTTATATTATAGGATAAAGAAAATAGATAATGAAATAAATTTTTAGTTAGTTTTTTTTTTTTTTTTTTAAGTTAAGAACCAACTTTCGTGGTTTATTTCTTGGAAGAATCCTCTGGTATAGAATTTTGGATTTCATGTCACCCTTACCCCCCACCATGGATATAATATCTCCACCCTTGCCCCTTTAGCTTTCCTCAATTTGCTGAAACTCATCTGTAATGAAGGGTTTTCCTCCCTTTAACTTAGCATCATACAATTGATATTGATCTAGCTGGCTCCAAAATTCAAATGTTAGCACATTGTTATATCAGTGCAACCCACTTGCTAGCTTTTTTTCCCTAACAATCACCACAATTTGTCTAATTTTGCAGTGTTGTTACTAAAAAGACTGTCTTAAAAACCCCTCATTGGTAGGCAAACTGGTGAGTTTTATAATTTCTTGCTTGCTTTTTGAAGTTCTAAGCAAGTTTAGAAAAGTATTCAGATTCTATCATGACATTAAAATCACCATAAATCCTATTCTGAGAAAAAGACTCCCGAGCATGGAGTCAGAACCTGAGTTTTAACTTTGGTTCATCTTGCTATTAGCAAGTAACTAATTTAGGTCCTTCCCTGGTGGCACAGTGGGTTAAAGCACAGCACCATGAAGCTCACTGCAGCCGCTTCAGCACAAGTTCAATACCTAGCCAGGGGGTGACCCACATGGCACGGCAGACCTCTCTTGCCCTGTCTGCTACTCCCCTAAGCAGTGTACTTTGTAGATCTGCCTGTTTTGCTCCCTGCTCTGGTGAGTTCTCTCACTGCTCCTGTACCTCTGGCCTGTGCTCCAGTTTTATATGCATAAATAAATAAATCCTAAAGGAAAGCCAATAACTAATTTCTGTGTTTTCAGTTTCTCCATTCAATTGGTTAATTATTTTGAAAGGTAAATATAATACAATATGATTGGAAGTGGGTATTCAGTGCTATTCTGAGGTCAATGTAAAAGTATAGCAGTATACCAGGAAAGTATGACACACCGAGGCTGTGATTCTCTTGTCACTTATTGTCCTTAAGGTTAAGTACAGTTAAAGACAATGTAAGAAGTTGCTTGAATTAAGTTTTTAGGTACATAGAACTTTTTTTTTTAGATGATTTAAAATAATATGTTATCAGAAAACTCACTGAGTTAAAGTTCTGGTGAATAATCTTATTTGTTGGGGAAATTATAGAGCTGTTGATGAATTTTACTTTTTTTCCTAAGAAAATGAGACAGATACTATATATCTCTAGTTTTAATTGTTTGATTTATTTAATGAGCTTCTTTGAACATGTTGTCAGCTACTTATTTTTACTTTTTCTTTCAAATAAAGTCAGAATAACACTTCATATTAGATGCCAGATAAGAATGTCTTTTCTTTATCCTACCCCCACCCCCAGTTTTACTGAAATATTATTGATATATATGTGTGTGTGTGTGTGTGTGTGTGTGTGTGTGTATGTATGTTTAAGGTATGCAGTGTAGTGATTAGTTACTTGTATGTTTTGTAAAATAACTGCCACAATAAAAGTTTGTACCCTTTGACCAATATATTCCTGTTCTGTCATCTTTACCATGGCAGCCACCATTATATGCTTTTTTTTTTTCCTATGAGTGACTTTTTTATATTTTGCATATGAGAATGTTTAGTATTTGTTTTTTTCAGCTTGACTTATTTCACTTAGCATAATACACTTAAGATCCACGCATATTGTTACAAAGGCAGGATTTCTTTCTTTTTTCTGTGTGAGTATCACATGTTCTTTATTAACTGATCCATTCTAGACATTCTAGACATTGAGATTGTTTCCATACCTTGGCTATTATGAATAATGCTTCAACGAACAGGTATCTCTTAGATGTAGTGTTTTCATTTTCTTCAGATACAGACCCATCACTAGGATCATATGTTAGTTATAGTTTATACATTGAGCAATGTCCTTACTGTTTTCCATACTGACTATTTAAGCTTATATTCCTACCAGTAATGCATAAAGGTTCTCTTTTCTCCACGTCCTTGCCAGCAGTTATCTTTGTTTATAATATGCACATTAGTAAGTATAAAGTGATAGGACATTGTGCTTTTCATTTGCATTTTTCTGATAATAATTAAGCATCTTTTAAAATATTTATTTATGCATATAGAACTGGGATACAGACCAGAGGTGCAGGGGGTGATAGGACCCCACCAAAGACAGAGTGAGGAGCAGGACAGGCAGATTGATGAAGTACACTGCTTAGGGGACCTATGGGCGAGACAGAAGTCTGTCGCACCGTGTGGGTCACCTCCCCGGCTGGGGATTGAACTTGTGCTGAAGCGACTATGGCCAACTTCATAGTGCTGTGGCCCGCTTCATAGTGCTGTACTTTAACCTGTGTACCACCAGGGAGAGCCCTAATTAAGCATCTTTTCATCAACCTGTTGGCCATTTACATATCTTAGGAAAACTGACTTTTACATATTTATTCCCCGGATGAAGAAAAACCTGGGCTAATGTGACATGGTGATTATTTTCTTAGGAATTTTTTTTAATTAAAATTTGTATGTAAACTATCTGTGAAATTTGGTATATAATTTCATACTTCAAAATTAGCACCTTATAATGTATCATCATACTAGAAGTAATTATACTCATTTTTATATGAATTAACCTAAATAATCTGTTTTCTTATTTTAGTTTACACTGGGTGAATGATCTTCCTAGAGCACTTGAACAGGTAAGAAAACGTAATGTTGATTTTCATAACCCATATTGTTATTTAAACCTTATAAATCCATTTTACAGTTCTGGCAGTTGGAAATGGAAACAAATCAAGTATTTTCTTCTGTGGGCTATGAACACTTGGTGCTCTTTGGCACATTAAGTACATTGAGTAATTCCCTTCCCCTGGGATATCAGTAACTCTAATTAATGGATATGTTTTAAATATGCACTAAAACTATATTAATTTGTGAACATAGTATTGATATAAGACATTTTCTGGGTGAGTTTCTTAATTGCCTATAATTTTTTTTAAAGGAACCTATTTTATTTTTATGTCTTCTCTAAGTTTTATAGTGAGTGCTATGTAAATGTTTGCTGGTTGACATTCATCAGCAAACAGGCAAAGAGTAGGTAAAAAAGCATTCAGGGGAGGGAAGAGATTACTACAGTTTGGAGTGATCCAGGAAATTTCAAGAATACACCTATAGTGGGTAGATTGGATTTGGAGTGTAAAGATTTTCTAGTAAGACAGAATCACCAGATAAAGTAGAAGAGATATGAGCATCTCAGGAGAATGGAAGGACAAAGAGGAAGCCTTAGATTTTTGAAATCAGTATACAACTGAGAGATGGGGTCTATTGAGGCCAGGTTTCGGAGTCAGCCACTGGAGAGTTTTCGAGAGAATGGCATGATTGAAAAGCTGGAGGGCAACATAATAACTGTCATGTCTTAAATGTACAGTGTGTGCTATTCATTGCTTTGTTTTATGTATTTTTTAAAAATGACTGCAGGATAATTTTATTTTGCTTTATTATAATACTGATGTCAGGGAATTTGTTTAAAATGAAGAGAAACTATTTTAGTGACCTGTGCATGAGAAACTAAACCTAAGTGGCAGTGCTAAGTGTTGTAAAAAGAGAGAGGCATTTAGGACTCTGCAAAGAAAGAATCAACAGTTTGGTGACTGCTTAGGTCAAAACGAATGAGGAGTCAAAGTTCACCTTAAAGTTCATATGTCTGAGAGAATAATTAGGGGAAGAATAGTAATGATCAGGTAAAGAAACTAGCAAATGGTAAGTGACAGACATATGGAACAGGAAGAGGACTTTGTTTGAGATTGAGTTTTGGGTATTTGTTGGATGTGTTCAGGGATTGAAACAAGGGATAAATGTCTATTCCCCAGGCAGTTAAAGCTGAGTTTAGAGTTATGAGATAGACTGAAAAGTCCTTCTAAAATTCATGGTTGTAATAAGTCTTTTGAGGTAGACAGAAGTTGCATGTTGCTGAGTACTAAAGAGAGGTATCTGCTGTACTGGAATTTAATGACAAGAGAAACAGAAACTTTAAAGGGGAAGAGGAATAAAATGAATGATTTTATATTTGTTTGCTTATATACTATTTTATTATTGCTTCATAATATATTACGTATGTGAAGAATGGTAGCCTTAGGGCATATTTCTCATCACAAAAACATCAAATAAAGATTGTCCTTATTAGGACAGCAACACTTCTAACATTTAAAAATTAACTTGAATAAGCAGTTCTATGTATTACCTATCTTTACAATAATATCATAATGCAATTACTTCCTGATAATTATTTATTGTAGATATTGTTTATTAAATTATGTTTACTACAAAATAATGGTAATCATATTGATTTAGACACCATGTATGTATTATTTAAACATTTATATATATATATAATTTTGAATAGTTTTGTTTTGTATTTCTTACAGATTCATTACGTTTTGAAACCAGATGGAGTGTTTATTGGTGCAATGTTTGGAGGTGACACACTCTATGAACTTCGGTGTTCATTACAGTTAGCAGAAACAGAAAGGGAAGGAGGATTTTCTCCACACATCTCTCCATTCACTGCTGTCAATGACCTGGGACATTTGCTGGGGAGAGCCGGCTTCAATACACTGACTGTGGTAACTATCATGAGGATCAAGTAGCCCATTGATTACATATTTCAGGAACAACTTCTAATTTTAAAGATAGAAAACTAGGTAATGAAGGTATTTTAGAAAGGTTTTGGCACTTTCTCACTCTTCCTCTCTTAGTTTGTATAAAGATGTCTTGATTAACACAGAATGGGAATGTAAATATTTGTGTGGTAAATGTGATAACCACTACATTATGGAAATGAGAAAAATTAACTATTTTTAGCTACTTAACCTGGAATAAATAGTTCAGACAAAATAGTTTAGCCTTCAGTTAACAAGAAGGCTATTTTCTGAGATGTCAAAAATGACTGAAATAATTGAAGGGAAAAAAAAACAGCCTCTTTTTAAAATCTGTATTTTTTAAATCATGAATGGCAAGTAAATATTCTCCCTCCCTTTTACTTTTAATAGGACACTGATGAAATTCAAGTTAACTATCCTGGAATGTTTGAGTTGATGGAAGATTTACAAGGTAAGGTACTTGATGAGTTTAAGATTTTATTTGAGTGATACTTGTGAGCTGACTTTGGAAGGCACAGGGCTAAGCATTGAGGATAGAAACACTGGTAAGGAGAAGGCAGACTATCGTCATGGAACTTATATTTTAAAAGTAAGACAGACTCAGGTAAATGTCACAAAGATAAATATTTAATTTCTTTTATGTAAGCTATAAAGTAGAGGTACATAATGCTATAATTGCTTTAAAAGGGTGCATTTAAAGATGGTAGTACATTTCAGTGTCTCTTGAGCAGCAGTTGGCAGATTGAATCTGGTACAAGGAAGCAGGTAGTTGTAATAATTTATTATTGGGCTTTGTCAGATGAATGGGCCCTGGCCTGAGAGTCTATTAAGTTTTTTATTTAGTAGTGATGGCTGTGACCTTAAAAAAATGAAGATGAAGTAACTGATTGAAAAGGATGGGGATAGGAAGGGAGGAATGTGTCCCAGGCAAGAACAGATAAAACCTCCTTTGAAGCACTTTAATGGGAGAAGAGGTGAAGGTACAGACAGGATTTGTATTTTGATAAGAATGGATTGGCAGATTACTTTAGGGAGACATTGAAATAAACTTCACTGAGAGGTAGTAGTGATTTGTACTATGGTGGTGGCAATGGGGGTGGAAATGAGTGATTTATAGAGATATTAGGAGTTAAATTTTACAGCTTTTACTGGTGGAGTAGATATGGCTACATGAAGGAGTGAGATATTTGAAGCATACTGCTGAGTTTCTAGGTCACATGATGAAATAGATGGTGTCCTCCATTGATCACAGAAACAGCAGAAAGAGGCCAAGAATGGATAGAGACAACAATTGAATACACATTTGGATATGTTGGGACAAAGTACTTTTGAAATATCTAAGAGATGTCAAGTATGTGGGTACCTCACTTAGAAGAGGTGACTGGCCTGGGTAAAAATTCTGTGAATTATAGTCTTTGAAGTATTGCCTAGATAAGAACCTGGAAATATTAAGGAGGAACACCAGAAATGTGTAGTACTGCCTAAAGTGAGGTTAAGCATTCACAACAAATGGAATCATCACATTGCTGAGAAATGAAATGCCGCCTGAAAATACCATTCACTTGGTGAAGGAGCAAGTTTGTTGGTAAGAGCTCTTTGTTGGCCTTCTAGGAGTAGAAGTAATAGAGGTAGGTTGTAGACTAAGTGGAAAGTGAAGGACTAGAGACATAAGTTATCTACTATTCTTTCAAGAAGTTTAGTGTGAAGAAGAGGTGAGAGGTGGAAATATAAATATCAGAGAGGGAGGAGAGGCATAGAAGATGAGGTGCTGGAATTTATTATTGGAATAATCTTAGGTGCTTCCACAGAGGTGATTACAAGAGAGAAGGAGTCACTCATGATGTCAGGTATTAGAGATTGACAGGGATAAGATACAAAGGCTGGGAGAAGAATTGATTTTGAATAGGATGACAAGGAACAGACATAAAAATAAGGAAGGAGGGTTAGTATTAGTGGATGTAATGTTTATATTTGATATTCCCCATCTAGTCAATTGTTTGCTTTGTCAAACAATATAATATTGAGATTGAAAGAATCAGAAGTTTAAGAATGGAGTCAGAACAATTTGAAATAGTGGTTATAGACAATGAGAAGATGAATTGATCCAAGAAGATTACAGATTCTGAAGGATGCAAAAATAGATCTGTCACTTTCTCCAGCAATAGTTGACAGCTCAGGACTAGACTCAAAACATATAGTTGGCTTAGTTTGGGTTAAAGCTTTGCTAGTTGAGGTGACAAAAAGACAAAGATTAAAGATAATTGCAAGAGTATAATTGAAGTAATAATCCAAAGAATCTGAGAAGGGAGAAAGGAAGTAAAGCGTGTGTGTGTGAGAGAGAGAGAGAGAGAGAAATGCTGAATTAGGAAAAAGTAGAGGAACAGTTCATAGTTGACTTAGGTAGTCAGAGAATGGTTATGGTTGATGTGCCTGACACATAGCATATGGTCAGAAAATGGGATGTGTTGCATGTTGATCTGGGACATGTAATAGATTTAGTGACAGAGGTGGAAGGATGAAGAAGTTTACTGTTGTAGACTAAAAAAATCATCAGGGTGGTGACAGGACTTGGTGTACAAAGGGAAACTGAAGCAGTTGCCAAAAGCCTTTGACCGTGAGGAAGTGATCTGGAGCCCGATACTGGATAGCAAGACAGAAATGAGAAAGAAGATAGGTCTCAGCAGGGCAAGGTTTTTTAGTAGAATAGTAATGACCTGGAAGAGGCTTTGAGTTGCAACAAGGATAGAAGCTCTACCATCCAATCCTGAAAGATGTAAAGAGGTATACAAAAATAAACATCCACCACTGAAGGGAATGCTGGAAAAGTGATTTTTATCAAAGGAGAACCTAGGTGAGAATTTGTGATGTTTGTTACACAACTGTCACAGATAATTTTGATGAGTGGGGTACCCAAGGCATTAAGGGTGTATTCTGTGAAACCAAAGCTACACTTAACCTAGGAGACCCTTAATCTGGATCTTAAAATTTTCTTCAGCTTTTTTTTTTTTTTGGTGCATACAGAACTGGGGCACAGGCCAGAGGCTCAGGTATGGCGATAGGCTTCACCAGGGACAGAGTGGGGAGCATAACAGGCAGATCAACGAAGTACACTGCTGAGGGGAGCAGCAGACGGGCCGGGAGAGGTCTGCCACACCATGTGGTCACCTCCGGGGCAGGCGGGAATTGAACCCATGCGGAACTGGCCTCAGCTCCTCAGTGCTGTGTTTCAACCTGCTGCACCACCAGGGAGAGCCAAAATTTTGTCAGCTTTAAAGGAAGAGAATTACTAAAATAAATTCCTCATATTTGTTATTGATTCACATATTTTTATGAGCATTGTTGTACTTGTTTCAATAATTCTGATTATTACCTTATTAGTATTACAAATGAGAAATACAGTTTTAAGAGAACACTTGCCTATACATAATAATTTATTTAGGTGCCAGGCTCTTGCCTTCTTGATTCCTGCTATGGCACAGTCTGATTACATAGTTTCTTGTACCTGCCTACTCTGAGTACTGTGCTTCTGTCATCTTGAAAAGGGGAAGATACAGCTGAAAACCTACTGTCATTTACTTTAATAAAGGGATCAGCAGCCTATGTGGCATATATTCCCAAGATGACAGGACCAATAATAAGCCAGACAGTCCCATCCAAACTCCACCTCTGGCACTTGGCTTCCCTGTGTAATCACATAATCTTTTCATCCAGAGCTCAAGAGATGAGCTGATGATTTACCATTCAGATGCTAATGATAAATATTTTTATACAAATAGTTTTTTTTTCCGGCTAAATAATAAATTCTGTTCTCAAGCTTCATTTTTAAAATCTGCCCACAGATTTAAAAATATAGTACTTTGTACTAGTTGTAATTCTAGTACCCTAATTTTATAGATAAGCAAATCAAGACACAAAGAAGTTAAATATTTTGTTCATTGTCACATTAAATCTATAGTTATGATTTGAATCAAGAGTCCTGTACTGCATACTTGATGGGATATGTTTTCTGTATCTTTTTCATTGGAAGTTAGCATAGTTATTGAGTAAAATGTATGAATATTAAGTGTACTACTGCTTGTGTTTTTAACCATGCTCCAGACCAAAGTGTAGAAAATTTCCAATCACAAAAACTTTGCCTCCTGTTCCTCCCCAGTTAGTAAAACCCCTGCTTCCTTAAGGGTTTTCTAGATTTTTCAGTTGCCTAGTATATACCTGTAAATAAGTGGTTTAATTATTTAAACTGTAGTCTTGGATGCAAATCATGTTTTAGTCTTGATTTTCTTACCCTTAGGGGATTAAGAGGAAATAGTTGCAGATAACTTGCAAAAGCAACAGGTATAAATATTAACTTGTTCATTTTATATTTGTTTACTTAGTGTTTATTGAGCATTTACCATGTGCTAACCACTGAGCCAGTGATGATAGTAAATATTTCCTGATTTTGGAGTTTATATTCTAGTAGAGAGACACACATAGAAATAGAGAGATACATTTAACTATAAAATCAGGTCATTGTTGGGGTTTTCTTTTTTTATCTTTTTAAAGATTTATTTATGCATATAAAACTGGGGTACAGGTCAGAGGGGCAGGGTGGGTGTATGTGTGAGAGGATTCACCAGAAACAGAGTGGGGAGCAGAACAGGTGAACTGACTGAAATCCACTTCTGGGGGGAGTAACGGGCGGGTCACAAGAGGTCTGCCATGCCATGTTGGTCACCTCCCTGGCTGGGGAAAGAACTTGTGTTGCAGTGACTGCAGATAGCTTTATAGTGCTGCATCAGGTGAATCTTGTGGTATTTTGAGAATATTCTACAAAGAAGGAGTAATTGTGTTCTTATATGACAAAGTTTGCATTACAGCATTGTTTATGAAGTAAATGTTATGAGGATGGTAAGGCTCAAGCTAACGTAATTTCTCTTGGCATACATGAGGAAACTGAGTTACAGTCATCAGGGAATATGTCCAAGGTGATCACTTAGTGAGGGGAATAGCTAGGACTTAAGCCCAGTCTGTCAGGCTGACTCAGATCCTGAAATCTCAACCATTTTACATTGAAAACATCAAAGGCAGCTAAGAAGGGAAGAATGGTTGGGGGGATGAATAGAGTTGAGGAGGGACTTGAGAGTTATGCCACTTGCACTGTAAGATAGTGTTACCTTCACACTGGTTTTTGCTTGATGGTTGTGGTATGTCTCATTTGAGCTGCTGTTATTATTAATTCACAGAAAAAGTCCAGAATGTTCACCTAATTTGACAAGTTGTATATCTGCTGATGAATGCATGAAAGTTTTGGAGGCTTTCACAGTGATTTTTAAGGTAAGTTCAGTTACTTTTTAAGACAATACTAAGTATTATTCCTTTTAAACCATAATAAATTAGGTTTTTATGCAGTAGTTGAACTTAACCTTAAAACCACTGTGAGAGTCTTAAAAATAGTTACTTGTTGGCTGGATTTCTCCTTTATCCCAAAGCTGAGAGCTAGTCCATAATTTCAAAGTGTGTTTCCATATTTTTTTCAATAAAAGTCCTCTATGACTTGTTATAAAGAATTCGCATGCCATTTTGAGATGTTAAAAATGAGTTTAGGCCCTCCCTGGTGGCGCAGCGGGTTATAGCACTGCACTAAGAAACTAAAGCCACTTCTGCATGAGTTCGATTCCCGCCTGCCCCGGAGGCGACCACATGGCGAGGCAGACCTCTCCTGACCCGCCGCTGCTCCCCTCAGCAGTGTACTTCGTCGATCTACCTGTTCTGTTCCCCACTCTGTCTCTGGTGAAGCCTCTCACCGCCCCTGAGCCTCTGGCCTGTACCCCAGTTCTGTATGCACAAATAAATAAATCTTTAAAAAAAAATTAAAAAAAATGAGTTTAATAGAAATTAAGTGCAGGGCCCTCCCTGGTGGCGCAGCGGGTTAAAGCACTGCACTAAGAAGCTTGAGCCACTTCCGCATGAGTTCAATCCCCACCAGCCCCGGAGGAGATCCACATGGCGTGGCAGACCTCTCCTGACCCGCCCGCTGCTCCCCTCAGCAGTGTACTTCGTCCATCTGCCTGTTCTGCTCCCCACTCTGTCTCTGGTGAATCCTCTCACCCTCCGCATCTCTGGCCTGAACCCCAGTTTTGTATGAATAAATAAATAAATCTTTAGAAATTACGTGCATACTTTGCATATATGACTTTGTTTGACGACCAGAACTGGGATTATGATCCCTAAGTACAGCCACTATCTCACATCCCACTGCTTCTGCAAGAAGAAGGAAAGTTTAACTTGGCCATGTGCTTCTTTTGTATGGGAAAGATGGGCGGCAGCACTAGCAAGTTACCAAATGTGCTACATGCAGCAGTGAGTTTCTTCAAGAATGACATTGGCTAAAGAGCATTATACCTAATAATTTAATTAAGATATCCTGACACTGATGATTTAGTAAGTATTTTAGGATTTTTGGTGCATTAAGTATTTACATTAAAAAATTTAAGCCTATTTTCCACTGGTGTGACCACACCTATCACTAATGTGTAAGTAAATCAGGTCTATGGGCATTTGAACAGCAGTGGAAATGCCACAGCCATCATCTGCAGTAGACTCTGAATGAGTTCCCATTTAATGTTGGTCTTTGGTAATTGATACTCTCCCTATGCAGGAGAATGTTTAAATTAGACTGTGTAAGGACTCTTTATGTTAGCACTAAAAGCTATTATAGATCATCTAATCTGGCCACTTGAAGGACCCAAAGTGATTAGTTTAAGGTTATCAAACTGCTTCCTGCCTGCAAAAGTAAGATTTACTTTTATTTTCATGATTAATTACTAGTTTGTATGGTTGCTTTTCATGAATTGGAGCTGTTAAGATGCGGAACCTTTTTTTCAGTGTCAGAGATTCATTATTGGGGAATTATGGGAACATCTTGGGATTGAAGGGAAGAAAAAGATTTAGTTATTGCAACTAATAAGGTCATTGAAAACTTGGTATGTTTTTATTTTTGAACTCCTAAAGAACACTGAGTCTGGGAAATTAATTTGCTTCTGTGAAAGTAGAAAGACAAAGCAGAAACCAAATTTGGATCATGTTATATAGAGAGAATGAATATAAAGGATTTTTATTTTTGAAATTCAGTTTCCAAACTAGTTTAAAATGTGACCTTTCAAGGTAATTATGAAAAGTATGTATAAAGAAAAATCAAATATGTAATCCTGCAAATCAAGTATATAATTCTTGATTATAAACAGTGGTATGACATCTAGCTTTTGAACTTGAAAGAAATCTAAAAATATTTTTTTTTAAGGAAACTACTCTCTATTTCAGGCAGCTTCATTAATCATCTCCTCTACTTTAGCCCATTAAAAGTAAACATTTAGGGGGCCCTCCCTGGTGGCGCAGCGGGTTAAAGCACTGCACTGAGAATCTAAAGCCGCTTCCGCATGAGTTCAATTCCCGCCTGCCCCGGAGGTGACCACATGGCGCTGCAGACCTCTCCTGACCCGCCCGCTGCTCCCCTCAGCAGTGTACTTCGTTGATCTGCCTGTTCTGTTCCCCACTCTGTCTCTGGTGAAGCCTCTCACCGCCCCTGAGCCTCTGGCCTGTACCCCAGTTCTGTATGCACAAATAAATAAATCTTAAAAAAAAAAAAAAGTAAACATTTAGGGCCTTCCCTGGTGGCACAATGGGTTAAAACCCAGCATTGTGAAACTATTGCAGCCACTACAACATGAGTTCAATCCTGGGCCAGGGAGGTGACCTACATGGTGTGGCATACCTCTCCTGGCCCGCCCGCTGCTCTCCTCAGCAGTATATTTCAGTACATCTGCCTGTTCACTCCACTCTGTCTCTGGTGAATCTTCTCCTCCTCCCCCTGCTGCCCCCCCCCCATACTCCAATTCTGTATGCATAAATAAATAAATCTTAAAAGAAAACATTAAACATCTTAAATATTTTAAAACATTTACCCCTGGAAGGAATACACTTAATTTAGAATTTATAAAACCTGTAAACACACAGTAGTTTTGGTGTTGTCTATTGTGTCTCAAGCCTTTTCGAGGTTTAAATTAGACTATGTATTGAAATTATAATGTTAGCACTTGCATTTGTGGCTTAGAAGAAGTGATGTTTTTATAAGAGACCTGTTCTCCTTTCCAAAGGCACTTGCAAACTATGGATAACTTACTTGGAGGGCAACACCTTACTTTTGACCAACTAGCAAGTAAAGTATGTTTATGGGATTTGTCTCCTAGAATTTGACTTTTCACTTGTCTTTATATCCAAGGAACTTCAAGAAGTTTTCTTTAAAATCACTAAGCAGCCTAAGTTCCAGCTAAGAGAAAAATTAGAGTTAGGTTATTTTTGCATAACTTTTAGAAAATGGGGATAGTACATTGTTGGGTGAGATGGAGTTATATCTTTGATATTGCTGTATTATCTAAAACTGCTTGTAGTTTATATTTAGGTATGGGTGAGAGCAATTGTGCTTGGAATAGAAAAGCTCTACTGCACCGAGATACGATGCTTGCGGCTGCCGCGGTGTATAAAGGTGAGAGAACTCTCCATTTTATCTACCCATGCCTCCCTGAGAAATTTGTGCCCTGTCATGTTTTTCCCTTAAAATTGCCAGCCCGGCCCTCCCTGGTGGCTCAGCGGGTAAAAGCACAGCACTGAGAATCTAAAGCCGCTTCCCATGAGTTCAATTCCCGCCTGACCCAGAGGTGACCACATGGTGTGGCAGACCTCTCCTGTGCACCCACTGCTCCCCTCAGCAGTCGATCTGCTGTTCTGTTCCCCACTCTGTCTCTGGTGAAGCCTCTCACCGCCCCTGAGCCTCTGGCCTGTGCCCCAGTTCTGTATGCACAAATAAATAAATCTTTAAAAAAAAAATTGCCAGCCCATTTTCCTTTTCTATAAATTGTCAATCAGATTTCTTGTCCTTTATCTCAAAACATAGATTCTGTAACCCCTTAATCTTTTCCAAGCAGATTTTACTGTCAGCTTCTCAGTGGTAAGGATTATTCATTTGAGGCATTCCCAGGACCCTCTGATAATCATAGTATCCATTTGTTTGGGAGACATGACTTTTATTGTACAGGTATTTTTTTTTCCTTGTTTGCATTTTTATAAGACTTTAACAAACATTGTTATCTTTATAGAAATGTACAAAAATGAAGATGGTTCAGTACCTGCCACATATCAGATCTATTACATGATAGGATGGAAATACCACGATTCACAGGTAACATTAAGGCAAATCACATTTTTAGTGGGTTCTTTTTTTCATTTACTTTTTATATATTAGCTTATGGTGTTTTTTTCTTTAATATAAAATAACATTTCATTAGAGATATGTATTTATGCATTTCTAATATCTTTAATCTTTATTTTCAGGCACAACCAGCTGAAAGAGGTTCTGCAACTGTGTCATTTGGACAGCTAGGAAAAATAAACAGTATTATGTCAGAGAACAAAAAATCACAATAAATATTTTATTCAGTATTATTGTTGTTCATAATTTTCATTAAAGAGGTAAATTTCACATCTAAATTTACTACATTTTGAAGCAAGAAGCAATATATAAGCTGTTTGCTGATAAAATACTAATCATTAGAATGACCTTATGTTATATCTGTATTTTGTAGCCATTTCAGTTTTACATGGTTTCTGTTCTCATATAGATACTGTTGAGGCATGGCTTTAGTGCCTTGTGTGCAGATTTAGACCAAATGTAAGAAACTCACAAATGTTCACATATATAAATTCCTTTCTTGGTGGGAAGGCATTACTCATATTGATGTTTTGTACCTTACCCTCTGATGTTTTGTTATTTCTGTAAGAGGACAATAGCATGGAGGAAAGACAATTTGATAGTTGCTTTAGAGTTCTGACTCATTTAGAATAAAAGTGTTGATTTTTTTTGACTCTACACTTCTTAAATCCAAATTATCTTTCACACTGTCTTTGTCACAAAAAGGAACAGAGGATTGTGTACTTTCTTCTCTTGATCTATTATGTACCTTTGTACATTAGAAAATTGTTTATAGACTTCTTCCTTGCCCTTTTTTAAATATCAGAATTCCAGTCATAATTCTTTTTTACCTGCACGATTTGTGTGTGCGTGAGCACCTCATCATTTTATACCCCACCCCACCTTAGGTGTGAAGGAAAGTCTTAAAAGATTCGAGAAGCAAAAGCACATGTAAAAGTGATGAAAAGTGCTGTTTATTGTTTGACTTATCTATGTCATTACAGGCCTTTGGTACTTTAATTCTGCTCCAAGCCTACTATCCAGTTGTCATCTAGCAGTCATCAAAATTACTTGGAAGCAATCAAACTCAGACAGCATAGAATAGGGAGGGAGAAGATGTGACAGCTAGGAAACACACAAGAGTGAGTACCAAGACTGTTTTCACCAATTAGAGGTAGCTATTTATCATTGTTTTCATTTAACCTGGGCATAGCCCCAGCCTCCCTCCAGTCTAAAGTAAGTTACTTGCTTAACTCTCCCTCTCCTGTCTGCCTACCTTCCCTCCCTCTACTATATGAGTACAAAGGTCTTCCCATTTAACCTGTACATAACTTAGTACTTTGCACATAGGAGGTATTCAAATTGGAAGTTTCTCACCAAGGATACTACTATTGTTTGTTTCATACCAATAGCGAATATGTGGAAGCTACCTATGGTAGAGCTAGAGAGGACTCAATCCTGGGTTTTCTCAAAAATAAGCTTCAATCATTGGTTTTTTAAAAAAAAAGAAAATTTAGCACAACTAATTGAGGACTCTTATTTAATATAAATGATAATAATGAAATGAATGCATGGCAGTAGTAAAATTAATGTGAATGACAGTACTAATCTTTTTTTCTGTTTGCTTGAAGTTTTATCAAGATTGAATTCATTTTTCCAAATAGTTGTGTTTTCTAAATGATTAATAGCTCATCTTTCTGAGTAAACTTTTAACAAGTAATTTCTTAAAAATAGTTTGAAAACTTGTTACTTTTTTTTATAATTTAGTTTTAAATAAAAGTAGATTTTAAAAAGCGCTGTAGTGAACCTGGAATGCAGGTTTTCTTTTGAATTACTATTTCTGCATTTTTCAGGTAAGATGCCCAAAAATGTAGTTACTGGGTCAAATGCAGATCAGTTTTTAATGTTTTGGATCCCTCCATACAGCTTTGAATAAAGGATGGAAAAATCTCCATTCCCATCAGCAGTGGGAGAGCATTCCCTTTTCTCCACATCTCATCAGCACTTGTGGTTTGTTTTTTCCAGTGTGGGCCATTCTCACCAATGTGAGATTTGCATTTCCCTGATAAGTGATGATGAGCATTTTTTTCATGTGCCTTTTGCAGTCTGCATGTCTCTAGAGAAGTGTCTATTTAGTTCTGCCCATTTTGGGATTGGATTGTTCTGGTTTTTTTTTTTTTTTTTTTTTTTTATTTGTCCGAGTTCTTTATGGACACCGGGTATTATAGTTCCTTGTAGGATGTGTGGTGTGCAAATATTTTCTGACATTCAGCAGATTGTTACATTCTCAGTGTATGGAATGTCATTTTCTTTATAATTCCACAGTTATTGTCCTAAACACTCTAGCCCCAAGAATGAGGTTGCTTTGCCAGTACTTTTCTTAATTTCAGTTGTCAGTCTCAATGGTTTGACAAAAATGATTCAGTAGTGCAGTTCTTCAATTCTTGCCCCTTTTGATCTGCTGGAGATTTGGATTCATATTAGGTTTCTAGAACTCATGTATACAGTAGCAAAGAGGAAGGATCTTTGGAAGAACTTTGAAGTCAGTTGTTTGGGCTTTGTTGGTTTTTACCAAACCCTGAGGCTCATATGCCAGGCCTCCACTTCTTTGTGGTTTTAGTTGTTGGTTTAATAGGGCTTTAGTGTATGGACACTAGGATATATGTTAGCCACTGGGACACTTGGATTACATATTGGTTCTTGGTAATATTCAAGGTTATTGCTTGGAGAATTCCAGAGGCAGCAGTATATATGAAATTTTACATTTGTAAAACAAAGATTATTGCTTTATAAAATTTGTGTATTTAAGATACAAGCTACCCTAAACAAAAAGTATGTGATATTATAAAAAGTGCACTAAAAGAAGTGTGTAGCTCTAGAAGTATCTATGAAACAAGTTTTGTTATTTTTCAAATCCTTTTACCGATAGTACCTTTTTTTACCCACTAGGTGGAAACACTTCTAGTATGGCCTATATTGAGGATAGCTACAATTTTTGTCTTTGTATATCCAAGCAGGAGGGAAAATATTTTACCGGAGGTTCTGTGTGGGAAAACTGATTATTAATAAATACTTGAAAAAGCAGAAGGATACTTATCACAGTGATTATTTATATTGTTATTAGTATGAACTTTATTTTGAGGAAACGGACATAAGTGGACTTTCTCTTCCAGAAAATGGTGTATTTTAATTCTTTGCTAATATATTTTACATATTTATCTTGCTGGTTTAGAAAAATTAATTTGTAAATAATATTGATAGACTATATTGTGGACACTGGTAAGTTATTAACAAATAAGGAATGCTTAGTATTTATGTGTGGTTTTGCACAAGTTCTATTCTGTTCACAAGTTCTTTAATATTCTCCTAAAGAGATGAAGCTTTGTCCTCCTCTTTGAGTGTGGGCTGAATTTGATGATTTTTTTCCAACAAATACAATATGGAGGTGAGGTGTAAATGGGTCTTGCTTCTAAGAGAAGGTAAAAAGAGCTTTGCTTCCTCCTTGCTCTGTTTGAACCTCATATTGTGAGGGCATCTCTATGAAGAGGACCTAGAAGTGAGGAACAGGGGCCTCCTGCCAAAAGCTTTATGAGTGAGCCAACTTGGAAGCATATCCTTTCACCCAGTCTAACTTTCAGATTACTGGCTGTCATCTGTCCCAGTCGTTATCTTGGTGGCAACCTCATGAGACAGCCTGAGCCAGAAACATCCAGCTAAGCTCTTTTCAAATTTCTGACCCACAAAAACAGTGTTTGTGGTTTAAATCACTGTTTGGTATAGTTTGTTTTATACCATTAGATAATAAGCTTTCTCTGTGGAGAAAGTTGGGTGCGCAGGGTTGCCAAGTTGTTACTTTTAGTGTAGAACGTAGCCTACTTACTTGAAATTATGTAAAGTCAACACAAACTATTTTCAGAGAAACCTGGACCTGAGCTATTCTTACCTTGAGGTTTGAGTCCATGATCTCAAAATAAAACTTCTCTCTCAAGGTACATTTAGTATGCTTCAAATTTCCTTTCCTAGGGATATTAGGTTCTATTTTCTGGAAACCTAACTGGGACTAGTCCAAAATGAAATCTGAGAGGCTCTGACCTTGAGATTTTAGAAGGAAATATTACTGCTTTTTGCAAAACATTCCTAGGTAAAAGTCACACCAGAAAAAGGAAAATCTCTGGTTCCTTGTGGCAGCACTCTGAAGACTGACAGGATTTATATGAAGTACTTTGCAATCTGTAATTTCTGCATCACTTCTTAACCCAGCTGAGCATTCATTACTCAACAAAAGCTGCTCCATTCAACCTCTACTAAGGTGTCCTGTCTTTGTTTTCAAAAGTCTGTGTTTTATGCTGTTGCCAGGCTGTGTCCTTAAACCTTTGATATGCATTAATTCTCATTTCATCCTCACATATACCTAGGAGGTAAATGCTAGTACTATTGCCCCCATTTTTTAGATGAAAGAGGCATAGAAGTTCTCATAAATGGCAGAATCAGTATGTAACTACAGTCTTCTATATGACAAAGCTAGTGCAATTAATTTTATTTTGCCTTCTTTTTTTAGAGGTCAGAGTTTCTATTAACCACTAGCCTCCCCTCACCCCTCACTTTTCACCTATGTCCTCCCTCCCACCATACTTTAGCAAGCATATTGCACCTAGCAGATGGCTCCCTCCACTGTCTCCAATAAATGCTCTTCCCTTCAGATCTTTGTCCCTGTGGCACTGCCTGCTCTCCAGACTTCTGAATCCCTTTCACTATAACCTCAGTCTTCCTTTTTTTTTTTTTTATGTTTAAAAGGACAGGTTTATTAGGAAAAGGAGAAAAGAAAAAAAAAAAAAAAGAGGCACCTGCATTACACAGGCAGGCAGGAGAGGTCACCCTTTATTTCTAGCTCAAGTTCATCTTGCTGTCTTGTCCCAGGTCATCTTGTACTTTTGTTCCACCTTCTTCAGCATTTATATATTGCTTCCTGTCCAGTTCTGCTTCTTCAGCTAAATGTTTAGGTCCTTGAGCATTGGCACTGCTATAACCAGAGTACCATTAATCACAAGAATGGTCCATATGTTCCACTGCCATGCAGACAATGGGAATACTGTGAGCACAGCAGAGGAGATTGGAGAAAGAGGCAGTAGGTATCAGCTGCAAATTTCTGGGGTTAGTCACTATTAGGATTCAAGGTCAGACTCTTAATCCAGATTTAATAACTTAATAACCCTTTTATCAAGGAGCATCTTGAAAAATCTTAAATGTGTT